GCGCGACACAAGGCTTTCCACCGTACTATATTCACTTCTCAAGGTGAATGATGCAAATGCCAATGCGGTCGACGGTCTTTCAGCTGCGTGCAACTCGTTGCATCCGTTCACTTCTCTCGGCGAACCCAATAAACAGACGACAATACTATTTTTATCTAATCGCGCGAAACGCGTCGCGACGTCGACCCAGCCTCGTGTCTCCCGGTCGATTGGTCCACTCAGAAAAATTGTCCGAAACAACGGACCTGATCTCCATACTTTACAAGTGCACGTGTTTCAAGGGTATTCAATTGCGCGCAAGAAAGTTTCCGTCGTAATTCGATAAAAAAGAGACACGACGTTTCGTTATTTTCTTTTCGTTCCATTTCGTTCAAACCCGTGGAAATTACTTCCGCTATTTTTCCTCGGTCGATTGGACCGAATCTCGCTTCCACGCGAGAACATCCCCGCGGATGCAGCTCACCACCAGCGTATTAGATTAATCGCGCGACGCGACGAAGGGAGGAACGCGGTCTCCTCGTTAGCCCACCTTTCTAACGACTCAATCCCAGCTTCGCGAGATAATCAACGCGTCGTTTCCATTTACTTTCCCCAACCCCTACACCGCGGCCTCGAGATGGTGGGCACGTCGCCGAAATTGTGCCCAGGATACGGAATTTCTTCCGTTCCTCCAGCCTTCCTCGTCCGAGCGGTGATCGATCATGCTCTCCCGACAGCTTCGCTGTCGCCTCGAAATCCTCGAGGTCGCGACAGCTCCTTAAAGGCTACGACGCGTTCCTCCTCTCTCGTGTCTGCGGCTTGAAACCGCTTCTGTGCGCAAGGCGCGTAGTCGAAACGGGCTGTTGGGAGTTCGCGCTGTAATAACCGAGCCTCGTCGAGCCGTTTCCCATTGCAAAACGTCGGGAAAAAGAAGGAGAAAAGGGAAGCGCGACGGGGTGGGAGGGAGAATCAACCCCGCCTCTGTGTGTACTTGGCGAGTAGCATTTCCACCGGTGAGATCGCTCCGGTTTTTTTTTTTTTTTTGTCCTTTCGAATGAAAAAGCGGGTAGAGCACGGGCTTGTTTTGTGTCCACGGGAAGGTATCGACGGTCGGCCGACAATTTAAAGAAGGCAAAATGCCAAAGCCCCGCGTAAAACCTCTCTCCCTGTGCAACCCCTCGACCAGCCACCCACCTCATCGTTGCTTTTCACCCACCTGCCCTCATCGTAAAAACTGTGCTTTACGATTTCTAGAAACTGACCGCTCTCGCTCCCTCCCACGCTCTCGTTCCTTCACCGCGAAGCCCCGTGCCCCGTTCTGCGAGGGTTCCGATGAACCGTGACAGGATCGAACCAAACAGAGATATTTGTTGCGCTTTCCGTGACCGACAATGAAACGGACGAATAACGATTCCACTGTATTTCTGTCCCGTGATCTACGGCCGTGCTACTTCAGGCTATAGAAGCTGCTGGCCGATGTTTCAGGGGGCCATGATTTCTCCTGGAATCCCTTTCGTTCTTTTTTTTCGTGGGAGCCCCAGGAAAACCGACGAGAAGCCTTCTCGAGACCCTTGTGAAAAAACCTCGTGATTCGCGGAACGGGATAATCCATTACCGTTGAATTTCGTCTTAATAGTTGAAACGAAATAGATTCGTTTAACGAGTAGACTAAAGCTGACGTGTATTATTTTGCAAAAACAAAATGGAAACATCGATGCGGTGGAACGGTTACATCTAATTACGGCGATATCGAAATGTCTGGGGAGCGGGTTGAAGAGCCAACGAACGCCGGACATCCGAAATAGAAGGATCGGAGAACGACCGATTATGTATACGACGAGAACGTGTCTTCTGCGCGAAACGCGCCGCTGGTATTCTCGCGTCTCTCGAAAGGGAAAAGTGGAACCGCCTCCTCGTGCCCAAAACCATGCCACGCCGTAAACTTCCTGCGGTAACGGGCTTAAAATAACCACGCCGTGAAATAAGAAGCAGAAAGAGCGAGGCGAATCGTTCTTGTACTTCGATTAAAGGGTTCTCCCTCGGCCAATAGTGTCAAATTCGTGCACGGTTACTTACACCGTGTCCGACCGACGCCACTTTTTCACCCCGAAACGATATTTTCTCCTCTCGTTTTTCTTACGTTCGCCCTCGGGAATTTCGATGGATCGATCGTTAACAAAGATACGACGCGAGATTCCGTGATTCGAGTTCCCCCGGAGAAGAGAGAGGCAATCCACTTCGGAGACGAGCGGAGCCGAAACCCAACAAAAATTCCAGACAAGCCTGCGGTTCAATTTGTTCGCGGTTCACGCTTCGTTATTGGCTTTAAATCACGAACGGCAGTTTCGATCCGCGGGTGGTACCAACTTCTGTAAACAGGTTTGCCCTCTTCTTAGTTTCGTTTCCATGGCGGCGTCGAGATGGGAGTGAATTGAATTTTCTGCTAAATCAAAAGTCGTCCCAACGTTGCGTTGTAAATTTTCTCGTTACTTCCCATGCCCTTTCTCTCTGAGATTTTTATGGATCCATAGATTACGAGAGTGATCTATGCCTATACGTACGGCTAAGAAAAAACCAAGGAAGGTTTCATTTATCACAGGTTACTTTCGAGAGGCTGTTAAATAAAACGACGACCACCCCTTGTACCCGTTCTTCGCGAATAAAACCTCGCGCGGCGAGAGAAATCGCGGCGATTGTTCGACGCGTACGCAGCTGTCGCGCAAGGATAATCGCGCGTCCGAATGACGCGTCACGTGGTCGCAAGTCCCACGGTCGGCACGGACGCGACCCATTTGAACCTGTCCATAACGCGCGGTAACGGTAGCGGTGGTAGTCGTCGATCGATGGACCGATCGATCGATTAATAAATATACGGTGTACAGCCGCGGGTCGACGCAGTAACGGCCGAGCGAGCGCCGCGACGAGTGCATTCCCAGCGTCGCGGGCTGGCTGCTGTTGGAATTATGGTCGACATTGTCCCAGATTCCCGTGCAATCGCGACACACCGACGGATTCCCTTCTCCGTTCGCGTTGCAACAATGCATAGGCGATTTACGCGCGGCGCGGGCGTTCGACGCCGCCTGAAACAAGTTTTTCGCGTGCCACGCGGGCCTACGGTAAGTCGAAGTTAACGAGGCGTAAACGCGCCACTGAATTACGATTATATTTCTGCGTGGAAACGCGAGGCGAGGCAACGCGACGGTGGCAACATGCTAGCGAGCGATACATGCATCGAGGAACAATAATGGCGAGCTGCTTTGAAGCGCGCCGATATAATGGCTCGGAGAGCGAGCGCTTCGCGATGGACTAATATGCATGCGTATCGATGGCGACACACATGCACACGCGAACACGAACACGCTGATCGAGAGAGGAAGACGCGGAAGAGACGTCGGAGGGTACCGTGTGCGCGCGCGTTGGTGTATTCGATGGTAATTCTTCATCGTACGTTGAATTATTAATCAGAAAACGGCGAAAGGGCGCGAACATGTTCAGCGCGCGAGATTAAAGAAGTCGCGCGGAAAGATCGGCCGAAGAAGAACGAGCGCGCGAAATTGAAACCCGTATTACCCGCGCTGCGGACCTTATAAATATTCCCTTAACGATGCCCCGCGCTAGATTGATTTCCCAATTAAATGTAAATGAACTCGCGCGTACTCGGATCGGTGCGCTAGCTGGAACGAGTTTTTATAATGTCCGGTTGCGCGAGCGAGCACCTGGAACGAGTATCTAAGCAGATAGGTCAATAAATTAATTATTCTCGGGACTAACAGTGCTGCGTCTCGTGTCCCTATCTCCTCCTGTCCCTTCGCTACGATATTTATGATTCTCCGTGGTATTTATTTTAGCTCCTTCGTCCCTCGGAAACTGCCGCGTCATTCGGACAAACTCTCCGGTTTCCTTTTTTCGGAGGCTCCGTCCTACCTCGAGGAACCCTTCCAACCTCCTTTGGCCGCTCAGGTGAAAACTCGTGGACCCTTTCACCGGGGACGCCCTCGTCGAAGAGGCTTAACGAAGGACCTTGTCTAAATTGAGTTGCTCGTCGGCGTAAAAACTGATTTTGTTTCGCGAAAGGAAACTTTGGTGCCGGAAACCGAAACACGAGCTCGTGGATTCGCGAACACGATTGCGGAAACTTTGTCGCCGGTAATTTCTTCCCTCCGCGGCAATTGTCGCAAATCGTTCGGTGACTCGGCCAAGGGGAACCCGAGCATCGATGGATTCGAGGAGTCCGTCGAGCCGTAAACGCGAACGATCTCTGTTTGCGAGGTTACCGACCGTTGTTTGCAAAGAAAAAGTCACAGAGAGAAGACGCGCCCGTTTCGCCCCTCATCGCTCGGGTGTCCGTAACCCCGGCGTTCGCAAACATTTTCAGCTTCCGTTTTCGGGGTGGTTAGTTCTGGACATTCTTCGATATTCACGACCCACCCCGGTATTTATTCTGGCTCATTTGTCCCGCAGGAACTGCCGCGTCATTCGAGGCGGTCTCGAGACTGACAGACCCTTTTCTGGCCTCTTCCAGAGTCCCCTCGGAACCCTCCGCAGGTCTCAGGTGTTAACCAAAAACGAGTAGTGGATCGACTTTAACGCGACGGTGGAGTTCACTCGTCCAGAAATTCCAGCGCGAGGCGGAGCAAAGAAAAACCTCGCCCCAAACCAAAGGAACCAAAAAGTCGAGGAAATTCTTCGAAACTGGATCATCGTTTACCCCCGCGCGATCGGTCTGAAAAGAATCCAAGAGGGTTTACAAACTTTGCTCGCAGGTTGAACGTCCAATTCAGACATTTCGCTTCCTCGACGAGAATCCATTGACCGAAACTTTGTTTTATTTACTCAAAATGGAAAAGCACCGTTCCTATTCTTTCGATAATTTATCCTATTTTTCGACATGAAATGATCGAAACAGTTTCTTGCAACGGCTCGAAGGTATCGTCGGATATGTTGAAACATTCATAATGCACACTACGTGTACTCGAGTCGTTGCCGAGATGGTGCCGCGTTGTATTTTCTTTTTTAAATCGTGAATCTCCGCGTCGCTTCCGACGCTCGACTGCAGCTAGTCAAAAGGAGAACGTCAAAGACTGGCGGAGGAACGTCGCTCCAAGATCGAGAGACTCGTTCAAAAGTAATAGCCAGACCGTTTCAGCTAGATGAACGATCAGCCGCCAAGACGGAAGTGATAGCGACGCGAGCTTCACGGCTTGCGTAATATCGTCGGTCGTACGAAATTCCTGAAATCCGGCTCGACGATTATGTCGAACGTCCAGGAGTAGGGAATTCTCGAGGCAAGATGGACGATCGTCCAATGCGAGCGCAGGAAGGAAATAAATTCTCCCGGCTGGGTATTCTCAGTGACGGGAGCGCGTGCGCTCCTAATGAGCGACAGGATTTGTTGAGCAGAACGATTCGGACGAGATTCCGGATTACGTGTAAAAATAACTTCGGCTAGCCGAAAATTCGGGCCACGAACCGCGTGGGAACGAAAAAACCACAGCACGTTTCTCGCGGCGCGATTCTCCTCGCCGCAATGGTTCATCGGATGTCGACGGAATTCGCGCTACAGAAATTTGGCACTTTGCGGGAAACACTCGAGGTAAATTTAGAACAAAGTTAAATAAATTCGTTTCCGAGCGACTTCCTGCTCGAACGCGAATGTAAGGACGATTGTTCTTCGAACGCTTCGAGATGCAACTCGGTTGCGTAAAGGACGAGATAACGTAAGCGTGATACATACCTACGTCGTGGTTAAGATCGGAATATTAACATTTCTTTTTCCAACGCAACATCCCCGTTTCGAAGAGCGGCGGCCGAGGACCAATTTTCGTCGCGCGTCTCGTATCTGCGAGGGCGCATCTCGCAAACATTCCCACGTTAAATGTACGGACAGAACAACAATTAGCAGGGTTCCAGGGACAGGGGACTAGGTAGCGCACGTAATGGAGTCGCGTATCGCCCGGCAATCTTGGCATTAACGGGCCACGTTGTATTATCCCTCGAAAAAGGACAATCCCCAGGTTTGTGCCCGCCCAGAAGACGATGGAGCTTGGTCAGGTACTTAAACACAAAAGTACCTAACCACGAACACCGAAACTAATGGCGCCATCGCGTCAGGTAAAATTTGCGGTTGTAGGATATCGGGTCCAGGTCCCTCTATCTCGTATTCCATCGTCCGATCCATAATTCAAAACATTCAACGTTCTCTCTTTCCGGGAAGAACGCGAGCTCACGAGGAAACTATACAAATTTTAAATTCCAGTCCGTAAAGGTTGACGGTTCTCTAATCGAAAAACATGAGAAGACCCAAGATAAATATTCGGTGCATCGTCACGATCGCTATTCAACCTAATTGAGGAAGCAGAATTCTTCGTGTACGGCATCACAAAAGCGACGACTCTCTATGCTTCGTTTCGGAGGCTTGTCGGTCAAGATCGGCTGGCACCACGATGACGTCTCTCGGTGAAAAATGACTCGACTCTCGAATGGTGGACGCGATGCGGGCGAGGCATCGCGACCGAGGAATTCCATCGCTGGCAAAGATCCTGCAAGAAAAAAACAAGATCCGACTCTTCCCACGAATTCAATGCCGCGAGGAAGTACCGAACGGCAACCGTATTTCAGTCCAACGACGCGGGAATTGAAAATGAAACGGAAGAAAAACGGCTAGGAAAAAACCGGACAAAAAGGAAACGGTGTTTCACAGTTCAAGATAGAGTTGGGCTCGATCCGAATTGTAGACCGTAACCGAGGAAGCAGCCGCGAGTAGCGGAGTTCGAAGCAGTTCCTCGAGGAGAACTAGGCTCGAGCCGGCTGCAGAAAACGAGCTACCCAATATGGCTAAGAAAAGCCAGCGAGCTCTCTTCCCACGAGCTAGACTCGCAAGGACTGATTGGCAAACAATTAGCAAAGAGGACGGTGCTCGCGGTGCGAGAAGGGCACGATGAAGTACTAAACACGGGATAGGCATGTATCGCGCGAACATCTTTGCTCGTGCACGATACACCTTCGGACCCTTCTACCACCGACCACCCCCGCCGCCGCCCCCTCTCGCGTCCTCCTCTGCCGCTCGTGTCTCAAAACAATGAGAACAATGCCGTTGGTCTTCCGCCGGAGCGGACAGACAAAGCCCCGTTCCACGACAAAACCATCCTCGCCATCGTCACCATCCTCGTCGTCCGCGTCCTCGTCCTCGTCCTCGTCGTGGCGAGCCTCTGGCCCGGCCAAGGAACCAGAACTGCTCGCCACCAGCCACGACACAAACCGAGGGAGCATTATAAGCGTTCTCTTAATACGAACATTTTTCGCCGCTGGTTCCGTGTGACGTACACGTACACGATGGACCAGAGAAAAAGAGGAACGAGAGGAGCAACAACAGCTATGTGTTGCTGCGCCCATTATATTGTTTTGAATTAAGCGCGCCGTGACTGGTTGGCTGGGCTGTGTTTTAATATAAGGGTTTTAGATTTCACGTGCATCCACCGACCCCAAACCTCCACGTTTCTCCGCACCCCGCGCCGCAACCCCCAGCAGGTCGTCGCGTTCGTAGTTCTCCATGCTACGTCGAACCCCTGTCCTCGCTCTTTTTCTCTCTCTCTCTCTCTTGCTCTCTTCGCTTCTCCTCGCGCCCCTTCTATCCTCTCCTTCTCCCTTTTCCCGCGAAACTGCGCTCCGATACGCCCGTTATTTTCAGCAACCCCGTCGAATCGAGTTCTTTTAAATTGGTGGGACGTTTGCTCGTTTCCGTGCGCGTACAACACGTACGCCCGAGCGTCCCTCGGTTTTATTTTCTTTTTTTCTTCTCTCTCTCTCTTTTTTTTTTACACGCGTTCGTTTTCTCTTTTCTCTTTCTGTGTCGCGCTCGCGCTCACGCTTTTCTCCATCCCGTTGTTTTTTGACGGCTGCACGAATTCTAGGCATCGTTCCTTTGTCACCGCTCGCTGGCGAGTGTTGTACCTTCTCTCGCCGGAGGAGAAACATTAAGTCGATGCCACCGCGAGTTCGACAGAGTCGCCGTCGTCTCGGAATGTTAGCGCGCTAATGGCGACGTTGCTCGCGAACAGCCGCGCGCGGTCCAACCAGCGCTCCGGATCAATTGTTTCTGCACCATGGTTTTTGCTATGTCGTGGATTGCGTCGAGGAATGCCGGTAAAAAAGGTGTCGATGCTGCGGCGAACGCCGTTTTATCTAATAACATCTCCGCGGTGAATCCCGAGAATTCCGTTTATTTTATCACCGCTTCTTGCCACGTATCGTCGCGGAGACCTTCGATCGATCGACGCGCAAAATAACGAATCTCGTCGTCAGTGATACCCTCGTCTGACCTACCCTCGAGTAGTTGGCACTCGGTAATTGTTGTCGCAACCCCACGCAATTTACAACTTGCGTAAATCGGGAAAGTATTCCGAACGGGTACGAAGTTGAAAAGAAATCAAAGAGAACGTTCACTGAAAACCACACGGTGCAATTTGCTCGTGATTTCCCAAGAATCCGTTGGCGGATTCTTGGTCACCTAATTGCCATTTCACGCGCGGTCTTTTACCGTGAAAGACCCCGGCCACGAAACCTCGGTTGATGCGCCTCTCAAAGGCGTTGCCAAGGCACTTTGTATTCCACAAAGAGCACTGGCACGGAACACGCGTTGTTTAGCAAATTGTCGTTACCGCGGTGCTTGATCAGCGAAGATCGCACCTGCGGCCCGAGCACACCGCTACTTGACAGTCGCTCGAAACGTTTCGATCTCGTGACGCTGTGGCCAAACAGCGCACGTGGTCGAGATAGCGCGTGTTCCAACATTCCTTGCAAACGCGTTCAAATCGCTGCGTCGAATCGTTAACGAGCCTTTAATCGCCACACGGGACCCTCCGGAGCTCGACGAACCGAACGCTTTTTTCTTTTTCTTTTTTTTTACGAGCCAGGAATATTAATTTTTGTTTCTGCTGCTCGCGAGCGTTGTGTCGAGGTTCCTACGGTAATCAGTTAAAAATGACCACCGCTCCAATTCGTAACGAGCGTACGGATCGTTTACCTCTATCGCATTCGTGCGGTTTCTCTTTACGTAAAACTCGTGTCTGTGATTTTATGGGTTTTATAAAATGATTTTCATTCAAAGTGACATTAGAATGCAAAAATTGCGGAAACTGATACGAATCTAAGCGCTGATTAGGAAGAAGCAAAGCGTGGGAGCCGACGCGATACTAGCAAGGGAGTTCAAGAAGGTTAAACAAACTTTCCAAAAATTTAGCTGGCGAATGGGCAAAAGTGAAGCCGCACCTACAAATCCACCTGGTGCGAATAAAATATTATTTTCCGTTTCTGTATTGCGAGATACACGCGTCCGATCTCCGCGCTCCGAGGGAAAATAAATGACCTGCATCGCCAGGACTCCTCGTTGAAGCATATACGAGATTTATTATATTCCAACGCAGTAAATGATTCAGAAGTGTTACGAGAACGACTATCGAGTACTCGGCAAGTGTGCCGTAACCGAGGTGTATTTAAAAAAAAAAAAAAAAGAAAAAAAAAATTCTGTAGACTCTACTCGAATTTATACGAAATTTCTCGTTTCGTTGTACGGAGAATTCCACCGGGCAAAATTTCCGAAAGGGGGAGAACAGTAACGATCCTGTTTGCAGCCTGTTACTCCAAATAGCATATCTGCGGACTTTCGGCGATTAAGGAAAAGAAAAAAGTAAAAAAATAACAAGCAATCCCAGAGGAACAATGGGACCACTTAGCGATCGTAGATCCCCAAGTAAAAAGAAGAAAGAAATAATCACGCCGGGAGCGTTCCCATTGACGTGGTCTAGCGGTTCTATTTCGAAAGATCGACCGCGACAGGCAGACCGATTCATTCACGAGCGGTGTTTGTAGTCGGATTTCGGGCGAAACTGCTTTCGCGCCCATTTCTGTTGGAGGTAAGCGTACGAGGGTCAGCCGAGACACGCTCGTTGTCGGAAATAACGACATAATGACATGGTAGAAGATGAGTGCCCGAGGTAGGTAAATCCAAGACGAGGTACGAACCACGCGAGCGAGAAGGAAAGAGAAACCAGACTGGATGCCCTGTCTGGGTAAGGGTATACATCCAGCGAGAAAGAAGAGGAACGAAGAGAAAGAGAGAGAGAGAGAGAGAGAGAGAGAGAGAGAGAGAGAGAGAGAGAGAGAGAGAGAGACCTGTGCTTGTGTATAGCCGCAACGAGTCGGAAGCGTTGCTGGCCATCGCTGGGTAGACCGGTGGTTCATCAAGTTCCGAGGAGTTGAAGAGAGCTCAATAGGCACTCTCGAGTTCTTAGGCTACGTCACGCAACCCTTTATCGGCGACTCGGTCTAATTTTATTTACGGTTCATTACCGTCAGCCAACGACCAGGTGCGATCCCATTAGAAAATTCATGGAAAGTGCATTGGCTGCCGGTTTTCTGGAATCGATGCTCTTCCCTAATGTACGAACGAGTTTCTGGACAATTATAGCCGCGACTGGACGACTGCGAGTGCTGACGATAATAGCACCACCTTAACTCTTTTAGCGGGAACAACTTTTTGCTGGACTGTCGTTAAACGGGGGATGCTATTTTACACTCGTCGACGCACTCTATTAGAAAATTTCCTTCTTATTACTCTATCTTATCTTGGATGGTACGTCGCGCGTCTTACAGATACGGGAATATTAATAGAATTGCTTCTCCGATCCACGATTATCGATACTTTCTCGTTGCTTCCAATTAAGCAATGGAATTATACGCGACATCTCTTGTGCCGTGTAAACAACTTTTTTTACTTCTTCTCGATAGGTTCTCGATAGTCTTGCCCACGTGTTTAAATAAAAATAAATGGAGCGACGGTAAACGATACTCGCAACGTTTCGAAATTTTCTAAAACGCAACAGCGCGACACGGAGATCAGCCACGCTCTCTTTAACACCGAATCGGCCCAATTTTGCCCACTATTTAGCGACGCCCATGCTTCACCGCAGTCAAATTAGCCGTCTGTACAAACACAACGGCGTGGCGTGCGTGTGCGAGCATGTACGCTTATACGCGGTCTGCGAATCCATTCGGCGCAACAATACCGCACGTTCGCGACCGTGTGCACGTGAATCTGCAAATTTCATTCATCCCGCCACGCGGGAGAAAGAGCGAGAGGTCCTCTCGGTTTTACCCAACCGATGCAGCTTTTTTAATCCGTTCCCGACATCATCGACCGGCGCATCGTCGCTTCCATCATTTCCGATTTCACGCCTCTTCTCGTTAAATTGCTATTTTCGCGTGCATTCGATGCAGATCATTCGCGAAACAAGTTGCTCGCGAGTACGCGTAGCCTTTTCGTTGTGCTCGATAAACCAAGACCAAGAAAGCACGACGTTTCTTCCTAGAACTATGCAAAGGGAGGAGAGTACAGTTCGCCCGATATCCGCCAGCTTCTGCTACCTAGAGGTCATTTACCCGTCTCACGTTTACAAGTTCATCTCGCAAACTTGCTTGTTTCCGTTCTTTAAAATACTGCTCACCTGTACGTACGGGCAGCGAACACGTAAGAATCTCTTAACTAACGAGAGCGGAGTAAGTATGACGCAAATTCACCAGCACTTCCTGCGTGGAATGCGAATCGAGTTTGTACAGCTGGTATTATTAGGGGAATGCGCTTCAAATCGTGGAATATCTATCCGCTGCAGAACTCTAAGAGGCGTGGAGAGAGATAGAGAGGAGACAGTTAGCACGGATCGCACTCGACCGTCGAGCGAATGCCATTCGCGTAATCGCCGATAACGCTAATTGCGCGTCTGACATGCTGCGAGAGATATCCTCCCTCTCGTTTCATTAAACGTTTGCACGTGGTCGAACCGTAGTCGGACAGTGTCTACGATGACATATACCGACGGGAATGAGACTACAGAAGTTCGCAATCACGGAAAACTTCGATACGTACATAAGACCGGACCGTCGACCGAGGCGTTAGCCTCCGCGTCGAACGCGATTAATTATTTAAACGCGCTCGACTACGCGCGCATCGCGGAAAGAGAAACAATTCTAGTGCCGCTTTCAGCTGCACTTTATCATGGGCCGCGGACGCGCGAACGTTCGCTCGTAAATAAATCGTGAATCCAATTTGCGGGCATCATAAATCAATACCAGAATCACGATTCAAAGGGTGTACAGAACACCTCGGAGTCGGAGTCTTCGCGAACAAAAGCGGTGCTTGCAACGAAAGTGATCCTCGCAATTACAGTTTTAATAGGATCGGGAATACTTTGCTTATCTTTGCAAAGTCCTCGTCAAAAGGATCGATGGAGTAACGTTTTGCTTCGCGACAATTTTATACTCCAAGACTGCGATACTTTCAATTCCCTTTGTTATTCCTATTCGTTCGATTAAACAGGCTGTTCGAAACTCATCCGGTATTTCGTTGGCACTATTTTTTACTGTTCGCGTGTTACTAATCATATTCAACGAGAACAGTGCCTGTGCAATTGCGTCAACCTAAATATTGATTACGAGTCGCGTAACGCAGAACCTGCTCCGTTCATCGATACCAGCAGATATCGAGCGACGCAGATTCGCTACCGTCCTTTTTTGCTCGGGGAGCGTAGCAGCGTCGTTATAAAATAAAGTAATAAACACTCACCATAGAGACAGGAATGGGTCCTCCGGCGCCATTGGGGTAGGGGTACGGCGAGACGAGGTAGCCCATGTTGAACGACGAGGTATGCGGCGTCGGATCCACCTTACCTGTTGGCGGAACAAGAACTCGTAAACATCTAATTCGACGAACAATTAAAAAGAAATGTGTCTTTCTTGCTAGACACAGGAACGTTAAACGGAGGGATTCGTAAACCCGAAACCTTGGCTACCGTTATGATGTTGGTTCGTAGCGATCCAACAGGATGACTGTTCAGTCGGCAATTAGACTAGGACGATTTTCCCGATTTGCAGCCTCCCCTGGACTATTACGTCTACGCGAAACCAGTTTCGTTTAACGGACTTCATTCCGCTGTTCGCGTACTCCAAGGAAAATCTTTCTCGAAAGCGCACGAGAATTTGCTCGAAGGATACTAGAAACGATACGGATCGTTTCGCGATGCAACCTCGACGTCCCTCGCGCCCCTTGCCCGCATCGGAGTCTGTCCTTTAACGTTCAAGACGGATGTCGATGTTCGAGAAACCATTCGAGTTTATCCGTTCCGCGAAACTGGATCGCGGCGAGCAACAAGAATCCGCACGAAGGACTCTCCGAGTGATACCGATCATCTTCGCCGGGCTGCCGCCACGGCGGCAGGGCCGCCGTTCCGATCCGCTCAAGGCGAATCCTGTCCCGCTGGAGAACCACCACCACCCGAGAGAGTTACTCCGTTCCGCGAAACTCGACCGTTTCGAGAGGCAGAAACCTGCTTTCAGGATTCGAACCGATAAGTATCGTCTCCCGATCTACCCAGGCCAGACCGAGTTAGCATCACCGACCGCGTCCCGGCTAGATCTTATCACCGAGCCAACGAGGATCTTTAGGTGATCGGCAACGCCATTATTCCGCGGGAGGAAAGTATCGACGAGAGATCCCCGGCACGGTAGCCGACGACAATTTCGCGGTCGTGCGTCGTCGCTATCGAGTTAGCCGCGATATAGATTCACCGTCGCAATAACGCTCGAGAACGGAGCGATACCACGGCTCGGTAGTGGCTAACGGGCGCGTGTGAAAAATTCACGAGGGTTATTGCGCCGAGAGCGGAGAACACCGATAAGTGTTTCAGCGAGGGCCGATAGTCGCGGTCGATCGTGCGCCACGCCTGAACATTATCCGCGACGTAACACCTGACGCTATAGCGCGGAGACGCGGTAAATCCGAGATTGGCTCGATCGAGGCAAGAAATACCAGCGAAGCTCCGTTGATTTCTTATCGTGGCTCGAAAATGGGTCGTAATAGCGGCGCAACGAACCGCAACGAAAGCCAACGCGAGCGGAGTGCTAGCGGTAAACGGTGATAAATCAGCCGCGTAGCAGCGAGCGGAGAGCCGCGTGCTTAATTAATACTTCGGCAGAGCGGTTGCACGCACGCGGGTGCAGCCGCCGCCGCCGCCGCCGTCGCCGCGTTGACCGCGCGCACCACCGACCATGAAAGAGTTAATTCTTCGTTCGAGGCTCCTCTCCGCGATGATCTCGATCGTCCCCCGACGCGAGACCATTGACCTTTTCCGAGTAGCGAGACACGCAGCACTCGTTTGCCCGAACTTATTAAGACGCGAACGAGCCCGCTCGGTCGCGCGACCACGCGACGAGCGAACCGTACGCATCGGCGCAATTCACACGACTGCGGACGATTAAATTGTCAGCTACGCGACTCTATAAATAACACGACACACGCACGTATGCCGCGACATACCCGTATTTCCCCGGAATCGCGCACGATCTTCGTTTTATCGCGACCGCGTCGATGAAAACCGTCCTGCGTGCGAATGTATTTCGCCGCGGTGATCCCGGGAGCAAATAGGCTTCGCTTTTAATGAAAGTTTTATCTGTTTACGACGACGACACGCGCGCCACGGGATTAACTTGGCGCGTCTCGCGATAAACGTGTCGCTGAATCTTCGGCGAATTTGTCCCGGGTATTCGCGCGGCTACAGTGGAGCAAACGCCCGAGGAGCTGGCCGAAACCAAAGAAAATGGAATTCTGGAATTAGAACATGATTCCAAGGATGGAACGATGTATAGCCTACGCGAAACCTACGGAGAAGAACTAGCTTCGTAGAGCCAAGTAATTTGAAAAAAGAAAGCTTGGTTGACCTCGAGAAAAAGATCCTTGACAAAACCCTCCCCGACATTATTTAGTCGAACGGCAAGAAAACGTTGTCCCGAACGGCAGGCTCGTTCCGTCCGTTTACGAATGCATATCCTGAGCGCACATGTGCCGCACACTCCTCGCGCCAAAGTTTATTGCCAGCAGACCCTCTCCTCCTCGACCCTTCGGTTCCCTCCGACCTTTCCATCACGATCAGTGCGCCTCCTTCTCCTCCACCTCCTCCTCCGCCCTTTCGTCCTGCTGCGTTCCATCGGCCTTCCATGCAGCGAGTTGCACAGACTCAAAGTTCGTGGCCGTGTTCACTCGCTCGTCCGTCTACGATCTCTTTTTCGCTCCTCTCCTGCAGGTTTGTTTACCTCGCAGTCTTGTTGGAATAATACCTCGGGACGGTAATTATAGATACCCCGGGCGCACAATGCTCGACGAGTTCGTCGCGCGTTTGCCACGCTGGCGATTGGAAGGAGGCTGTTCCTGTCCGGAAGACCGAGAATTTCTGGCGTTCTTGGGGTTAGGTTTACGTTTGGTGCACGTGGCGGAAGGTGTATGATAAAAAAATCGCTCGCGATCGCGATATCGGCGAGTCTTTTTCTTCAAAAATTTACAGAAATTTCGAGTATTCTAAACTAACAGCATTCTAACGAAATTCGTAGCGCTTCGTAAAAAGAGACAACGGAGGAGCAACAAAAAAAACACAATTCTCGAGGATCGTGCACGACGATGGGGCTCCGCGCAATCGTCCAGTCTAGCAGAGAAATCGCGGCTATCCGCAGGGTATGTGCACGGGTTCTTAAACAATATCCGCGTCCCGAGTTACTCGCGGTTCTGCATCGACGATTCTTGGAAAGGCGCCATTAGAACAGAGGAGGCAAAGAGCGGAAGCCGCGAGGAGATTATTATGGATTTGCATATGTTCCGAGTGCCCTCGATTTCGAGCCGAGAGTTCTCGCGAGCATTGTCTGCTCCGAGGATCATTTTCGTTTGATGGAAAAAAAACCGCATACACGCGCGCGGGCGCACAATGGGGCGCGGCTCTATTACAAACGATAAATCTATCCGTTCTCTCGGGTTTTCCCCTGCAATCCGTCGCTGAGAGGACGACAATGATCATCGCGGTGTGCGATAACGAGGCGCGGGAGGCAGACTTCGTTTGTGACCGCGATGACTCGACGGGATAAAAGAATTTCGAGCGAACGTCGCTGCTCGATCTCGAAAATGTTCCACGCGTTACTGATAACGGAAACGTGTATCCATCCGATGTTCGAAAATCGAGCGCGGCTGCGCCGCTCCGATCAAATGTCACGGGCTTCGAAGAAACGATGCTTGTACGATGTTGCAAGGTGGCACTTACGGTGGATGCGGGAGGAACGCGTCAAACCCCGATCGTAAAGTCTCGACGGTCCCGGGTCTCGAATCAGGCCCGGAATCCGGGGCTAAAAAGGACACAGGAGCGAAAGAGCGTGCCGTTAATGCTATTATGGGCGAGCTTGTGTGTACAGCTTGTTGTCGGCTGGTAAATTACTATAATTGTGAAGTTCCGGCGATTTTTAGATTAGCTCTGGTCCATCAACGCTATATGCCTGCCTACCGACCTGCCGACACTGCACCGCAGAACCCGGCGGTTCTCAAATTCACGCCCGCCCGGTTCTCGCGATCGCTTTTAAACTTTGACTACTCGGAAAAATGCGGAATCGAGGAAACAAATATAATTTACAAATACTCTACGGAACCTCGAAAGAACGATCGATCGAAAGCTGAAAACTTCGAGGAACGGTGGTCGAGTTGGGTAAGCGGGTTAGAAAAGCTTAACCGCGCGACCGTGTTTTTCCATTTTTCCAGCAACGCGAGGGAAAAAAATTTGCCACGGACACGAATTAATTCTACGAATCGCTGCGTGCCAGGAATACGATTTCCTCGACAGAATCATCCGCAGAGATTTATCGCGTTCTTCCGTCTCCCACGGGAGAAAACGACGCGAGAGCGAAGGGGAAAAAGGACCAAGGATTACGGCACCCCCTCTTACGGTACCAAAGGACCGTACGGATTCCTGCGGAGACCGGAGGCCAAGGCCTATTGGCTCGTGTCAATAGAAATCCGTGCTTGCGTCTCTCGACCGTGGACGTTCCACGACCCCTCGATGCGGGGGGCCTGTTTCTCGTCGAAAGGACGTCGGAGGCGAAAGAGAGAGAGAGGCACCGGAAAGAATTTTCGTCCCTCGGGCACTCTTTGTGCAACAAGTGCCTCGCATTGGTCGCAGATGTCGATTGTTTGCAGCCAACGATTTTCACAGAGGACAGCATCCTGTGACGTATAGACATGTTTCGGTGGCAAAAGATGCGCTCCTAGAAAAGGAGTCACGCGAACGGTAGCTTCGTCGCGAGTTAAAAGTCCGTGATTCCAGGATATATCTGGTAGTCTCCCGTACGAAACGTTTACGAAGCCGCTGATCGCGGGAGGAATTTTTTAACCAGGATATCTCGGCGATCAGGCAGGCGGAGAGGTCCGACAGGGCGAACGGCTCCGAGAAATTCAGGAGTCAGGTTTCTAGCACGGAAGAGACGCTTTTGGTGAAACCTCGAAACGGGAATGCGTGGCGGCTTGTAACCTGGTGACCCTCGACGCGGGAGGTCCGTGTAGAAGAAATCAGAGGGTACGAGCGGGGGAGTAGACGATAGAGCCCGAAAGGACACCCAGAGATTTCGTCTCCGAACACGCTTTGCGCAACAAGTGCCATGTCGCGGTCACGGCGTGCTTGTTGACTCTGATGAATTTCCCCGGAAATTTGTGTCCCCTTTGTCGGTCGATCGATGGAACCAAGCGGTTCGAAGGGTCCAGCCGTCCCGTGCACTCAAACCTCCTCTTCGCGATTCGAGCGCGAGCGGACGACCGTTTCGATGAAAAGCCACGCGAAAAGCCGCGCTACAATTTTCACCGGGTCGTG